CTTTTTTTTTTTTTTTTTTATCCTGATTTCAATACTAACCCTATTTAGAATTGAATTAGGACCTACCAGAGAAATTTTAGAAATTTTTTAGCTCCTAAGACACGAAAAAGCTAGCTCGAGAAGGCACGCATCATCAAAATAAGTAACCACACAGACTTAGGCAAGTAATACTTGTAGGGATCACTAGAACGTGCTAGCATGCAAGCATTCTTTACCTTAAGTTGTTAAAAATTGCATGTTAAGGACTTTGGAATGACGTTTTTGGTGCGTATGTTATGAAAAATTACCATTTTGCCACTAGGTTGAGATTTTAAAGAAGCATGTTGTTATATGTTTTATGCAAAGCTAAAAAGCTAGTATGCATGACTAGGACTTCGAGTGGACAATATGGAAGAGTATGTTATGCATGATGTAAGAAATTACCCAAAAGCTCCTATGATGAGATTTGTTGTCTAGGTGATTGATGGATGTTATCTCGCTTGATTGTTTGTTTGCTTGCATGAATGTTTAAACTTATGTTTTACTGCTTTAGGTTATTAATAGGATATCTCCCTAATAAACTTGCATGCATGATTAGATTATTTATATGGTGCCTTAGGTGATAGACAGGATAATCTCCCTAGGAAAACATGCACAAGAGAATCAAGTTAAGTTTAAGGTGCTACAGCTAGAACAGTTTATATGTTGACCTAGGTCAATATGTTCCAGTAGACTTTGCACCCCATGATTATGAGCGATTAGATGTTAGACCTGAGTGCACCCAGAGATTGGTTTACCCTGGGGAGCTAATCCTAAACGTCCTGGAATGAGAGATGAGATTGAAATTACCTAGACGCCCTTAAGAACGTAGTAGACCTCCACAACATCCAAGAATGACAAAGGTAGCTTTTCAAGTTGATAGGAGCCGGTACGATTTCTGAGCATCTTCCACTTTCCTTTCCATTTTAGTACGATATCTTTAAGTTAGTAGTGAGGCTAATTAGGGACGTGTGACTCGATTGTTTGTTGGATTATCCTACAAGGTGAATCCGTCCTGTAGATAGGCATTTATCATGCAGGAAGTCAATGGTTATCATGCACAGAGGATCCGTCCTGTGGATCTGACACATATCGAGGGCCTACTAAAACAATGATTGTCTAATGGGGCCTAACATATTTCTTCTCCTATGTTGCAATATATCTGTTTGCACGTGTCATATCAATGATATAATTCGTATATCAATTAAATTTCATTTATACTATTGATATACCTATTCATGCACCAATGAAGTGAAGTTAAAAGTATTTAAAATTGAAAATTATATTTTAACTTTTCTACTATATATGAATATCTCAAAACCTAGGGATAGATTTGCAAATTACTCTTTTTATATATATATATATATATATATATATATATATATATATCATGAGCTTGTCTCTCACTTTCATCTTGAAAATGCCATCATTCAAGCTTGCTATGCTCTTTATAGTCTATTTGCTAGTTACTAACTTTTCTTATTGCTATAGTTTTGATGTCACAGTGTCTTTAGATGGCACGGGAAATTATGTCAAAATTAGTGATGCTATAGCAGCCGCACCAAATTTCAGCACGAAAAGATTTTCTATTCAGGTGAAACCTGGAACATACAACGAGGTGATTGAAGTTCCACCTTCTAAGACATTCATAGCTTTGATTGGGGAGGATGCTTCTACCACCATCATCGTTGACGATCGAAGTAATGGCACTGGATCGACCACAGCAACTTCTGCAACTCTCAGTAAGCTTCAAATTCTCCGCTCACTGATTAAATTTGTGTTAATACTAAAACATATTTCATTGTATAGCTGTAAGAGGTGCAAATTTCATGGCTCAGTCGTTGACATTTCAAAACTCCGCTGGGCCGAAGGAGCACCAAGCCGTTGCTGTTCTTGATCAAGCCAGACACACATCATATTATAAATGTGTGTTTTTGGGTTATCAAGATACGCTCTATGCTGGGGGACTACCCCAATTCTTCAAAGAGTGCGATATATATGGAAGCATTGACTTCATATTCGGAAACGGAGTCTCCGTATTCCAAGATTGTAATATATATGTTCGAGAATTTGGTATTAAGACTACGGTAACAGCACAATCGAAAGCAAATATAGATGATCAAAGTGGCTTCGTCTTCCAAAACTGTAAGGTGACCGTGGCGCCCGAGATAGCATCAAGTAAGGACAAGGTATTGTTGTATCTTGGACGGCCATGGAGAGAATATTCAACGGTTGTGTTCATCGAGTCATTTCTTGACAGTGTGGTTCAGCCTAAAGGATGGTTAGGGTGGCCAAATGTACCGGTTGACCAATTGTTTTTTGCAGAGTACAATAATACGGGTCCAGGAGCTGACACTTCTAGAAGAGTGGATTGGCCTGGTTACCATATATTACATACGGCTACACAAGTTACAAGGTTTACCGTTGAAAACTTTATTGGTGGGAGTCGGTGGTTGCCTGAAACTGGCATACCATTTAGAACTGGTTTTTAGGGTTTTCTTGATATATAATTTCTAAATAAAAGTTGTTTGCAATAATACTTTTTCTATTTTACGTAGCCTCAAAAGGGTTAGCTCAATATGAATCCATAGCAACAAAAGGTGACTTTTTTGGTTAGATATTGCATGCAATGTCTAGTAGAGTGGTCACAATAGCTCGGTTAGAATGATTTTAAATACTCGAAAAGTCATTTTATATGGACTCTAAATTTGGAGATGGTTAGAAATAGTAATAACCATGACCCTGATGTCTTATGCCCAGAAAGCCTAGAATTATGAATTTGAATTAGTTCCCGATGGCTAGAAATTCTTATACATCAACTGCAACATGATCACGTTACTTCATGCTACTGACCAACATGTGTTTTTTTAGTATGTTTTGTCTTCACTCACATGTTTTGTTGAAATTTTTTCAAAAGGTCACCTAATACAGGATTTCTCTAAAGAGAACACGTTTTATTTTAGGGTTTGAAAAGGAAGATATACTTTGTTGGTATAGGTAGTAACTTTCAATTTTTTAAAACATTTCTTAACTATTCTAATCTCATAATCGCTCTTGTTTGAATGTAGTATCAATTTATTCCTATAACTCTCGTTTACTTGAGTCTCGCAGAGATCACAAACAATTTATTTTATTTATCCAAGACAATAAAGAAGAAAGACAAAAAGAGTAGACAAAATTAAGTTAAAAACCAAACAATAAATTAGTGGAGTACCTACTTGTAATAACCCAAGCCAACCGCTAAAAGATATTGTCGTATTTGAGTTTTTTCTTCCAAACTTCTTCTCAAGGTTTTTAAAATAGTCTGTTAGATAGAGGTTTTCACACCTTTATAAAAAAATGTTTAGCTCTCCTCTCTGACCGATGTGGGATCTCACACTACTTATATACGTTTACATTTAATAAGTTTTGACGTTGGCAACAAAAGTCATAAGAAGGTGCTCAATTAATCATATCGGGACTTCCAACTTGAGGATTCTTGTGTAAATCCCTCAAAATCAATCTCGTATTAAAATCTCGATTTTGATTCTTTAATAGTCGCTCACCAATAAGAACTGGTAAAGAATCTTTGCTTAGTTGATATTAGGTCATGCAGTTCACGAGTACAAATCATCAACGACAAGCACACGAAGTGTTCAATAAACAAGAAAAGTGACAAAGACAACAAAACTGACAGATTCATATTGAACTCTCTCACAAATTTTAATCTTTTAATGGTTACGAGTCATTTAAACTTATTAGCATTGACTTATTTAATTTGTAGTAAAGGAAATGAGGTATTGTCCGTCTTTATCAACTTACCATATAGATGAACCTTATAGGGAAGACCTTGGCTGAAAAATAATGATTGTCAAGTTTAGTTTTTTGTCCGTACTATAAAAATTAAAGAAATAAAATATTTTAGATAACTTTTGAATTATAAAGATTTTGAACTATCTTGGCTTACTTTTTTGTTTGATAAAGTTTGAGTTGAATTCTATTTGTTTAATGATGCATTCACCAAGAAATGAAGCAAAACGTTTGTTTGTATTTGCATGCATTAGGATTTCCTTGCCATATTTAGACTCTTTTATAAACTTCTTATCATATATAGATGTATGCAATAATTCTCTTTTGACTAACAAGTGAAAGACTCAAATTGAAAAGAAAAAAAAAAATCTTTGCTAGCTTGACCGTTTTGGACTATTCCAAATACTTTCTTATGTTATGTAATTAAAGCTAAAGATTCATATAGCTATTGTTTCGAATCATCAGTAATACGTAACACTGTTTAAGACTGATTTTAGGATAGTTAAGTTATGTTAATTTCCTAATGTAACCGATGATAGATATTATCCTCTTTGGACTTTCTCTTTTGAGCTTCTTCTCAAGGTTTTTAAAACGCGTCAGCTAGGGAAAGGTTTCCACATCCTTATAAAGGGTGTTTCGTTCTTCTCTTCAACCGATGTGGGATTTCATAATCCACCTCCCTTTAGGGTCCAATGTTATCGCTGGCACTCATTCCTTTCTCTAATCGATGTGGGACCACCCACCACCAAATCTACCCCTTTGGGGCCCAACATCCTTTTTGGCACTTTGCCTCGTGTCTACCCCATTTGGAGAACAGGCTCCTCGCTAGCACATCGCCCGGTGTCTGGCTCTGATACCATTTGTAATGGCCCAGGCTTACCGCTAGCAAATAGTCCTCTTTGAGCTTTCCCTTTCGGGCTTCCTCTCAAGGTTTTTAAAACGTGTCTGTACAGAAAGGTTTCCATACCCTTATAAAGAGTTTTTCATTCTCCTCCCCAACTGATGTGAAATTTCACACATAAATAGACTCTAAACTTAGTTTTCTAAATGAATAGAATAACGTATGTGAGCTTGAATTTTGGTTGAGCAGAATTTATGAAGGATCAACTAAATTGAGTTTAGGAGAACCAAGTTGAGCCTAAAACGGTAAATAAGATAAAATTGATTGAGGCATAAATAGCATATATCATGTTGAACAGTATTCATGAAATGAACTTTGTGATGTATTTACTTAATCTCTTCTACTTATGATATGATCTTGTTTAGGCCTAGTGAGACACATTGATGTCATGTATGATGAGCACAAATAAGCACCAAATTATGTACATATGTTTCATAAAGAGTATTTGTCATGATAAACATGAAGTCCATCATTTCTTGAACTATTATTTTTTATGCCGGATCTCAGACATGTTGAATGTCATATGATTATGGATTACTTATCAAACATGTTATCTACGAACTCATATGCCACATTATTATTTGCTTCCTTTCTTTTCTGTTTGCTTTCGATAGCTGAGCATGCTAGTCCATAGTTAGGCCTAGAGTATATGTTAATGAGTCCGTTTAGTGAGTGCAAATGCTTACATGAATCGTGTGTAAAGAAGTATTATGCACCCAACTCTATGCTTACATGCAAATGTGATTGAATTGTATGACTACACTAGTGAGGTCACTTACATTTTTTACTATGTATTTGTAAATACTCATCCCCATTGTCACAACCCAATTTTTCGAGGGTTTGAATATCAGATTGTGACTAAAGAGATGAAAGCCAAATCTAATAAAAAATAAAAAAAAAGATAAAATTCCATAAAATTTAAATTTAAATAAAATCCAATTATAAGATGATGTTGTTTGAATTTATTACAAAAGAGGAAAATGAGTCTAGGATACAATTGCAAAACAAAATACAAAAGACTCAAATACAAAAACGGACTGATGCTTCGGAACGACTTCCTCTATGACTGCAAACCTCTCCAATATCCTATCTTGAGGCGTGACCTCATAAGCTGCAAGACAGGATGCACGGATCTGAAAATGAACAACAATTTGAACATCACCCATATGATTTAGTTGATAGATCCTCACACGGGACCATAAAGTCGCCAAAGTTTAGGGGAAGCGATCCCTTGTGTGTCGATCAGCTACTAGGTCATGCTAAATGGTCCCACGCTCCCCTGCTCAGGGACAAGTTTACAGGACAAAGATCCCGTTTTGGAGATCTTTGGCTATTTCCACTGAGTTGGAGCACGTGTCGTGCAAACGTAGCTGACATGCCTAGCTTCATGGTACGAGAATCCGTGCGGAGTCTTGATGGTATGGTATCGAAGTAAAAAGGGTAGTGGACAGACTTGTGACATTGTTCACATTATTATAGCCTGATGAGCTACCTTGGTCATTTTTTGTTGTCGTGGAGGCCTACAAGGTTCTCAAGGGCTTTTAGGCGATTTAAATCTCATCTCTCATTTGTCAAGACACTCGAGGTTAGCTCCTCGGTGCTAATCCAAATCTCTGGTTGTACTTAGGTTTAGACCTCTGATTGCCCTCACGATTCTGAGGTGCATGGTCTACTAGAAACATTTTGACATAAATCAACGGGTAAAGAACACTAGTTTTAGCTCTTGAATCTTAACTAAGTTCTCTTATACATCCTTTGCTAGGGAGATATTTCTATTGATCACTTAAAGCGTGTAATCCATACTTTAAACTTTGACTTAGTCATATCTAGGAGCTAAGGAGGTCTATTGGTTCCCAGGGAGGTTAGATGGCTTAATGCGTACTTCTAGCTACAAGTTACTCTTATCTAACTTCTCGATTCTTTCTTAGTCTGGGCGCACAAGGGTCTACACTCTATGATCGTTTCTCACAACCATATGATGCTCAATCTATTAGAGATATTCCAACCTAGGTCATCATCTAGCCAACCTCACTTTAATGCCCTACCTTTGTACAGATAAACACGCTCTACAGGGAGAACATACAGGCATACACTTGGAGCTAAAACATATTATATCAGTACACATACAAGCAAACAAGCTCAATGAGAAGATAACAGCCATCAATCACCTAGAGCATAGATCACAATAGCCCATCCTTCTTTCTAACCTAGTGGAAAACATATAAAGCAACATGCATCACAATTCTCACCATAAGGGGCATTTTGGTAATGTCTTACATTATGCATAACATATTCATCCATATTACCCATCTCATATTCTAGTCATGCATATTCTCTTTCTAGCTTCACATGATACATAAAACAACATGCTTCTCGGAATTTCAACCTTGGGGCATAATGATAAATTTTCCATTGCATACTCATCCAAAAATGTCCTTTCGAAGTCCTTAACATGCATTATCTAGTTACTTAAGGTAAGGAATGTCCACATGTTAGCACATCCTAATGATACCTACAAATATTACTTACCCAAGTCTGTATGATAGTTTTTCGTCTATTAAGAGCTCTAAAATATCTCAAATTTCTGTGGAGGTACTAATTCAAGTAAATTTATTGTAAGTGACAAAAAAAAACTAACAAAGAGGGGTCCACCTCTCATTCCTTAAAATTTCCAAGCCAGTTTTCAATTCTTTTCTATTTTCATAACTTCCCTTGAAAAAAAACTCAAATTAAATTATTTTTTTTACCAAAATGGTAGACTTTAAATTCATCTTTACTAACTCCTTTTTCTCATAACTTCCCTTTTTCTCATAACGGTAGACTTTAAAATTT